TGCTGCCTGCTGGTGTCTGTGACAGGAGCCCCTGGCCACCAGCACCACCACCACCTTCAGCCAGCCCCTGTGCACAGAGGCAGAGAAACCTGAGGGAAGGGGTTAAGCAGCCTGGGGATGCTCTGCCTGTGCTCTCACCACCTGGGAGCCATTAGAGCCTTGGTGCAGGTGGTGCAGCCTTTGCCTGGGGGCTCTTTGATGCACTGAGCTCTGGGGATCACCTGCCAGACCCCAGGGACGCCGCAGCCAGAGGCCACCCTCTGCCAAGGGGACCCTGCACCACTGGGGTCGCCCCTCATCAGCTCTGTGAGGTTGGGCTGCTCCATCTAAACCCCCTCATTGAGGAAAAACTCCTGCCCAAGCCTTTGGGGGGGTTCAGCTGAGCCACACAGTGCTGGGGGAGGAGGAGAGGTCCAAAGGTACCACCTTCTTCGTGCCATTTAAATTAGGATGCTGCAAAAGGTGAAAATAACTTGAAAGGCAGTAGCCCCGTTTTATTAATAGCAAGTATTTATTAGCCTCCTTGATTTACAGTACGTTTCTGAAAGTCATCAGTCCATCACATTCTTCAGCACAGGGGCTGAGGTGTTTTTCTTGGTCAACACAATATGGAATATAGATCCGAATATGAGAAGCCAAATACAACCTTCATTTTGCATGCACATATCCCGCCGACGGGAGGCCCGTAAACGAGTCCTGTATAGCCCTTAGACACATGCAGACATTGGGGGAGAGGTGGGAGCTTCTGTACATCACCACTGGAAACCTGGAGGGTCATGGGAACGGCCAGGGAAGAGCCCTCAGGGCTGGACCGACCCCGGGAAGCGTCGCGGCGCACACACCCCGGCCGCCAAGGAAAGGTGGGAATCCACCTCACGTGAGATTTTGTTGGGAGAAACCACCCGCCCATCCATGCCCCTCAGTGCAGGACGTGATGCTCACACAGCACAGGCACCTCCACCCACCTGCTGCCATGGCCAGCCCCAGGTTTTCCCCCTCCTCCTGCCCTGGCCGCGGGGTTCGGCGTTCCCGGGGATCGCGCCGCGCTCCTTACGGGAGGCCAGGCCAAATTAAATTGGGGCCCACTGGTTCTGCCATCTGAACTTCATCACTGCTAAAGATGCAATAAAAGTAATGGCAACAACGAGCAAGCCTCCACCAGATGTGTAACTCTATCCAGTGAGATTAAGGAGTAAGGGCCGTACTTGGGGTTTAGGGGTTTTATTCTGTCGTTGTTCTGCCCCCTGCCACTCCACCTGCCGTGGGAATTACTGATTATTTGGACCCCTGCAGAAGATGAATCCTAAGAGGATGATTTTTGGGGGGAGAAAATTGGGATGGAGGGGCAGCAACGTTTGACTCGTAGCAGATACAACACACAGTTGAATGATGATGCCTGAAATGGGAAAGCTGGGTGGGAGGAGAAGCAGAAAGTAACAGCAGAAGGAAATGAGGCACCACTCCCGTTTTTGAGGGGTGGGGGGGTTCAGCTCGCTCCTCAGTGAGACTTTTCAGTGAGGTCAGGTGAAGCACCACAGCAGAGCAGGGAGCCCTGGAACAGCAGGGATGCTCAGCAGGTCCTCCCCCTCCTCACTGCCAAAAATCCACAGGTAAAGGCTCACCCCAGGCCTCACCAGCACCCAGACAGCTCAAACACACACAAGAAAGGAGATGCAAACCCAAAGCAAAGGCTGAAGATGGTAAAATAACCTCCAGCAGCCCAAGGAGGATGGAGCTTCCCTCCACCTTCCCCCAGAGCCCGCAGCTGTGCTGTCACCCACCGACACCACAATGCTGCTGGAACAGTCACTTGGTGGGACCCAACACAAAGCTGGGGTTGAAAAAAAAACACAAGGAGCTTGGCAGTTTTGTTTGGAAACTCACTGACAAAATCTGTTTTCAGATCCCTTCTGGGGAGAGGTCTTGCATCTCATAAAAGTCCACAGCCCAGATGCATCACGAATCCAAAACATACATTATTTTGAAAGCAACATTTAAGCTAGGCTTCACAAAAGGCTTGACCTTTGCTGCATTTTAGTGTCAGGAAAAGTGTGCTTAGAAGTCAAACACAGCATAGTCAGATCATCTCCAAGTCTGAAAGCAGCTTTTTAAACCCAAAACCTCAAAGTTAAGCCAGGTGATTCCCAGGAATCTTGTTCATCTCAGCCCCTGGGACTGGGAAGAACATTTATCTTTTCTTTATTAAGAACCCCAAAACATTAGGAGCTTTGTTCTCTTAATAAAGGACAACCACACCTTATTTCCAATTTGGATGTGCAGACCAACACCTGGAGAATATGCCAAAATACAAAACCCCTGGGAATATTGCCCCTCTTGCACCAGCAACCTCCAGCTTTGAGACTAATATCTTCCCAGCCCTCCCCTCACAGGAAACCTTGGACTCTGGTTAATTGGTAGAAACTCATTAAGCTGCTGGTGATCCCAAGCACACACACAGCAAGGGGACTCAGCCAAGCCCTGGTCAGACAAAAAGAGGACCCTAATGTCACCCTTAATTAAAGCGCAGAGCCCTCCCAGGTCACCCAGGGCAGTGGAAACCCTTTGGAATCTCCACCAGACCTGGTGCTGAGGCTGTCCTGGTGCTCTGCAGGAGCCACAGCAGAGTCTGGAGCAGGAGCAGGAGCAGGAGCAGGAGCAGGAGCAGGAGCAGGAGCAGGAGCAGGGCTGGCAGCCAGGGAGAGGAGCCCCAGGGCTTACAGGGGCTCTCAGCACAGACATTGCACCCATTAAGGCAACACGAATTCTGAAGATGTTTCGAAGCCCTAAGAGTTGGGGGAGAGTTTAACAACTGTATTAAAAATAGACATTTTAAAGACTATTTGACTACATCTTCAGCACTTCAGGTATCACTTCTGTGCTTGGCAGAACACACTCAGCCATCCCCACTTTGTTATTTCTCGCTTTTCCTGGGAGAAGCCCTTGCCCTCACGCTGCCTGCTGAAGGAGAGACAAGCCACAGCCAGGGAAAGCAGATCCCATCACACTTGTTCCACCAGCCAGAGCAGCAAAAGCATAACCAGCCAGCCCAGAAGACATCCACCAACTGAGTTTGGCCTGTGCTCACACAAAGCAAGGGTCAGACACCCCCAGAAGAACAGCACACCGGAACCCCTGACAAAGCAGCTTCCCAGCAGCCTGGGCCAGGCTGCTGTGGATACAGACCAGGTGAGTCCTGACCAGAGAAAGGGGCAGAGCAACCCCTTTGCAGGGAGTGACTCCACCAGCCCTGGTCTGACACAGCTGCCTGGAGCAGAGATCCCCAGGACAGGCAGGAGATGTCCAACTCTCCTCTCACAATCAATCAGCTGCTTAATCCAACAGGATTCACCCTTCCCAGGCTCAGAAACCCCTTAGGAGCAGACACAAGAGCTGGCAGCACAGGCTGGGTTAGGAAGAAACTTTAAAAACATCCCCTCATGATAAAAAAAGAGCTGGGGCTGTGCGTAGACTTTTGGGTGGTTTGCCCTCAAAGACCAAATCACCTCAGAAGAAGCAGCAGTAGCTCCCTTTGTGTCCCAGTGCACCAAGCCCTCCAGGCTTCCGAGCTGTGGCACCCCTCAGAGATGCTCCTGCTGCCCACCCCAGCCAGAGTTTAAGGTACTGAAGTGTCTGTGCTTCTGCTGTGCCCAGGGCACCACGAGAAAACCACAGCCTGGGGTTTTAAACAACAAAAGAGCAACCGCCGCCCGTGGAAAAGGCAACACGTTTTCCCTAGGGCCGTTCCACCAGGAGAGAGTCACCCCAAGCGGGGCTCTCGCTCAGACTGTGAGCAAGGAGATGAGCAGAACAGGGGTGAGACTGAAGTCAAAACACAAAGCCAACCAATCCACCGGCCCCTTCCCCATGACTTGGCTCCATCCTGCTGATCCCAGCAGCCTGACACGGCCAGCCAGCCACTCCGCTCGCTACCCAGCCGGCTTCTTTCACCAAATAAGGTCCATTCCCTCTCGTCAGCAAGGCACGAGCAGCCACAGCCTATCAATCCCATCGGAGCCGGCACAAAGCTCACACATCACCCATCTTCTGTCCCGCAAAGCGCCTGGGCCCTGAACCAGGACGCTCCTTGGGTGGGTGCTCAGCGCCGAGCCGGGGACGCGCGTGGCTGGCCAGTCCCCGCTGCAAAGCCTGGGAAACACCGGGACAACAACCTGGCAGCAGCAGCTCCCCCAGCTCAGGGCAGGGCTCTGCATCCCCTGCTCTGACTCTCAGCACGACTGAGATTCGTGCTTCCAAAACCTGCGCTGGCCTCGCTTCTCCTCGCACGGACACGCGCGGGCGTCGCGGAGCCCAGCAGCCCCAAAAGTACAAAAGAGCTCAAGAGCAGAAATGCAACACGACAGCCGGCATTCACCAAGGACGAGGCAGGAGAGATGGGAAACCCGCCCTTTCGGCATCACCAAAGGCCAGGGGCGGCTCAGCAGCGCTCGGGGTGCCCGGCCTAAGCCCAGCTCCTGGCCTAGCTCTGCGGGAAAGGTCTGTCCTGCCTGCTGGGCCAGGCAGCTCCTGGTGCCAACGCCATCCCCGGTGAAAACCCAGCACTTGCTTGTCTGCAGCCGGTACGGGAACACAAAGTCACACCAGCCGTCTGGCCCTTGTTAGCATTAAAAATTAAAGACAGAGCAAACAAAACCTAAAGCTCCAACATTTATTATGGCAATTTCCCACCCACCCACAGACCTACACTGTGTTTTGCTTTATTTTTAATTCATCACATCAGATGTGCCTCCCGAGGAATGGCACGTTGCGGGGATAACCAACAGGCCGGGTTGTCCACGAGAGCAAGACAGTCTTTTCCATGGGGAAAGGAGCCAGTCGAAGCCATCATTAAGCCCTTGACCTTGGTGGGTGGGGTTTTTTCATTTGTTTTTAGAAAACGAAAAAAAAATAAACCAATGAACAAAAAAAAAAAAAAAAAAAGAACCCCAAAAAACCCGAAAAAACCAACCCCAAAGAAGTGTTGTACTCTATTACAAAATATAAATACGATAGTCTTGCAGGCAGGAGGAGCCCGGGGAGCGCTGCTGTCGGCGGGTGACTCCTCAGGCTCTCCCGGGGATGCGGCGAGCCAGCAGGACAGAGGCCACCTCCGGACGCCGAGACGCCGCCGGCCGCTCGCCCCAGCTTCACCTCCTTTCAGAATTTAAGTGCTCTTGAACTTCCATCCGAAAACTGCCAGACATCCGGGGCTCCCTGGGCGCTGCGCCAGCTGGGGGGGTACGCCGAACCTACAGAGAGCATGGGGACAGAGGAGAGAACAGGTGTGACACGGCCCACGGTGTGAGTCATTCCCTTATCCTACTTCTCTTTCTGTCTCTTCTCTGTCTCTAACAACCAGGACACCCAACTGCCACAAGGGGATTGGGCAGAACGGAGCCCTTCCTCTCTCAGGCCACGCTCCCGCATCCGGCATCCTCGGCACCACGCAGGAACCACAGGGATCATTTAGGAAGAAAAACCTCTGGGCTTTACTGGGCAGGGACCAAGCCAGCCTGTCTTGCAAACCTCCTCCTAGTCTTTCCCGAACCCTCGTGGGCTTCCCCCAGGTGCTGAAGGCCCTGCTGAAAGCCATTGGAACAGTTAACACGGCACACGGCGGGTGGTTCACCCAGGGCTTTTCCCAGCTCCCAGCACGGCGGATGTCGCGCGCCACGGACGCGCTCGCCGCAGCAGCAAAGCTCGAGCTGCACAGCCCCAGCCCACGCCCAGCAAAGCCATGGACTGCAGCAGCATGGGATGGGGCACTGGAGAGCAACCATTCCCAGCTCCCAGCCCCTGCTCCAGGCCTGATCCCCCAGCACCGCGCTACCCACACAACAGGCTAAGGGCTACACCGGTGGCAAGGCCGGCACATCATCAACACACTCCTCAAAATCCACCTTGGCAGCCCAATGGGGAGCTGGTTTCCATGGAATTTACTTCCTTAATACTTAAAAGAGTGGTTAAAGGGCTACTACATGTGAGCTGCCATCAGGACTTAGTAACCAGCTCCTTCCTAGGCCAGATCTTCAGTGGGTGTTAGCTGGAGTGTCTCCTTTGAAGTCAAGAGTGCCGTGCCTGGTTTCCCTCCAGGGAGGGCTGGTTGCTGCTCCTGCCTGAGCCCAACAGTTTCCAGGCTAATGTTAAAGCTGGCTGGGACTTCCAAGGCAGCCAAGAGCAGCACAGCCATCCTGGCCACTAGCACACCACCACTGCAAAGCTTAAGTCCTGCTGAGGGGCACAAAACCTTGGGGTTCCCCCACGCCTCCTGAACTTCCTGCATCCCTGTGGCTCGTTGGGAACCAGCAGCCGAGCATCTGGGCTCGAGGAGCAGCATCTCTTCAGCAGCTCTGGCAAAGAGCCCTCCGGGCAGTATCACTCTCTCCTAGTCAATACTACAATTTGTCCATGCATCCGCCAGAAGAGGGTTTCAACCTTTATTGGAGGAAAAAAGAGAAGGAGGGATCTAAGAGAGCAGCTGGTGTCATTTTCCTGTTGGGTACAAATTCCGCACTAAGATAAACCCCAAAACTGTATCTCATCAGATACGCCACAGCCTCCTGAATGTCAAGCAAAGACACGGTATCTCTTATTCCTGTATTATCTCAGCCCTCCGAAACATAATAATATGAAACATCTGTAGCCTAAATTCTGGATACTGTTTCAGCGCCTTCATTACAATAATCATTCTGTTTGCAGGAGATTAGACACTAAAGGGTCTATGCCATAAACCCACGTTCCCCCTCAAAAGTTGACAGATTTTAACAATAGACTCTGTTACCCAAATATCACTCATTCCTAGAGACATCTTTTTGCACAGGATTGAGATTTTAACAATACCCAAATATCACTCATTCCTAGAGACATCTTTTTGCACAGGAACGTTTCTAGGGAGCACAGGTCACGCGTGCACGGGATGCCAAAGCAGCTCCAGAGCTCACGGTGGGGCCTGGGACATCCACGCCCCAAGCCAAGAAACTTCAGCGGGTTTGTCACACCACTAACTCACTGCCCTGGCAGAAAAACCCCACAGCCATCAGCACCTGCTTTGGGGTGGGGGTGACAAGGACATCAAGCTACGCCCTCGCCAGCCGCTGCTCACACAACTCCTCCTGCAGCGGGAGCCGCTGCTCCCGCTGCTCCTTCCTCCAAACCACCGCACCCGCCGGGCTCGCTCCTCTCTGGGAAACCTGGAAAATTCAGCTTTGGGAAAACTGGGAATCGCGCGCCCGATAACCAAGTCAATAGTTTGCTTTCCACTGGTTAATCTTGTAGCAGCACAGGTCTACCTAGTGATGCCTGTGTATGGATACCTGCAGATGCCTGCCTATGTACTTTTATATGCGATTGTTTTGTAAGTAAAACACAGCACAAGGAAAGGGAGTGGGATGCCGACCATCACAGGATGGACCCAGGGTACAGCGCCCGCTCTAGAAGACACCCAGGCTACGCTCGACCCCGGGCACAGCTAACCCCAGTCCTCCAGGAAACACCTCCACCACGGTCTCACAACAACCAGCAATAAAAATGGGGACAGGGAGGGAGGGACCGGGCTCTGCTCAGGTATTTCGTGGCACAGGATCAAAAGATGCGTCATCACGGCAGCTGCAAAGCACATCC